CAGAACCCATGTTGCCTATGTGCCAGCTCAAGGTCAAGGTCACAACTGAAGGTCAAATATCAAACAATCAAATATTACACAGTATGTTGTGTCCGCTCTGTAAGACCTACACTAATTGAAAGATTTTCTTCCAACTTGGCTCAAATATTCACCTCAACAAGGGGATGTGCAGAATCCATGTTGCCCATGTGTCAGCTCATGGTCAAGGTCACAATTGAAGGTCAAATATCAAACAATCTAATATTACACAGTATGTCATGTCCGCTCTGTAAGTCCTACATTAATTGAAAGATTTTCTTCAATCTTGGCTCAAATGTTCATCTCAACCAAGGGATGTGCAGAACTTATGTCACTCTTTTGCTGGCTTAAGGTCAAGGTCACACTTTAAGGTTTAAAAATTGACTTAGAAAATATTCTTAAATTTTAACATTTATTTGAATATTTCTAAATCTAGAAAAGGTATTTGCTTGAAACTTAAAATATTTTTGAAGGGTCACAATTCCGATATGCTGTTTGTTCAAGTTTCATAACTCTGTATTGCATTTTACCAAAGTTATGCCCCTTTTTAAGTCTTCAAATTTACATACAATCAAATATTAGACAATATGTTGTGTCCGCTCTATAAATCCTATACTAATGGAAGAATTTTCTTCAAACTTTACTCAAATTTTCACCTCAACAAGGTTATGTGCAGAATCCATGTCACCTTTGTGCCGGCTAAATATCAAGGTCACACTTGAAAGTCAAAAATTGACTTAGAAAATGTTCTTGAATTTTAACATGTACTTGAATAATTCTGAAACTAGCGCAGGCATTTGCTTGAAACTTAAAAGATGTATGAGGTGTGGCAAATAAGATATGCAGGTCAAGTTTCATTATTCTGTATTGCATTTTGACAAAGTTATGCCCCTTTTTAAGTCTTCAAATTTACATACAACCAATACTAGACAATATATTGTGTCTTCTCTATAAATTCTATACTATTGGAAGGATTTTCTTCAAACTTTGTCTTTACTCAAATGTTCAACCAAACTGGGTGATGTGCAAAACCCATCTTACCCTTGTGCCAGATTAAGGTCAAGGCCACACTTGAAGGTCAAAAATTGACTTATAAATAAAATGTTTAATACATTGGGAAAATGAAAGGTTATTTGTAACTGTTTCGAACATGATTTGATAATATATATTTATACTATTACCTGTACAATTGGTCTTTTTTTCACCAGAGATAATTTCTTTTTTTGTATTTGTGCCACATAAGTTATTCCCTTAACCACCTTTCCAAGTGGTCTTCTGTCAAGGACATTGGTGGGGGTATGAATCGCATTCAGCGATAGTTCTAGTATAACATTGTTTTATGTTGTTTTATATAAACAAGATAATGATTAACTGTCTGATCTTCCTAATACATTGTGTGACCTGTCAAGATAAATATGTAGTTTTTTTGTTGTCACATAAACAGTCATGTATCAAAAGTTTATAACTTTATTATATAATAGCAGACAGTTGAAAATCTACATGTACCATCTTCACTGATTGATTTCTTATGAGCTGATATAATAATCGGAATTGGCCAGTGGAATGGCTGAATGTTTTAAAATATCTGGTTCTAAATATCATTTTTAGCTCAACTTTTTCGAAGAAAAAATTCTTTCCTACAATTTCCTGCAATGTGTTTTTGACTTTAGAAAAAAAGGAAAAGGCCAAGAGTGGCTTCCATTGCCAGATGGTGGCTCTTGTTAAAATCATTCTTTGTTGTACGATATATTCACATTATTTTAGTTAAAGAAGTGAAAGGGTCTGTGCCTGGTTGAATTTTGACCACTGGAATCACTTCAATTTTCATTTCCATTTTGTCTTTGAGCATTAATTTTATATAAAGCTAACTGACTTTAAATAAAAAATGTCATATAAATTTAGCAAAATTAAAAAATTGTTGGTCTTATTTTTAAAATTTATTTTAAAATTTTTGTAAATTGACTTCAGATGATGGTGATGAAAGTATGTGTGTTTTATATTGAAAAATTTATTATTTGTTGTAAACAAAAGTTTTAATGATATGCAGGAATACTGTTTGTGTGTTGTTGTTTCTTTTATAAACAAAAAATATACATGTATATAACTTTTGTTGTGCGTCTTGATATATATGATAAATCTTCATTTCCGTTTTAAGATTTATTCTAATTTATTTTATAGATTTATACATTACTTCACAAAATGAACAGCTTTTGTACTTTGTTTTACAATTTTTATGGAGATTTTTCAAGCTTTGAATGAGCATAATTTAATAATTAAATTTTTAGTTGTGATTCAAGTTTATTTTAGGGCATTTTATTTAGAATAACTGTTTACTAGGTTACTAAGTTAATTTGTTTCTTTTTAAAGGGACTCCACTGAGGTTTTTTGACATGATGGGACTAGAAATTTTTTTTCCAAGATTTGTGTACCATTTGATGTAGGCCTGAACTAATATCTCAAGTGCAAATTTTCAGAGTATTCCCTCGACACATTTTTCCAGAATCATCATTTTTATTGTGCAAAATGACTCAAAAATGAAAAACTTCACAATGATTTTCAACTCAATTTTAGCTTAGAATGGCACATAAATGGATTTTTAGTATAATTCTGAGCATATTTCTCCATTTTAAGTGCTGCACTTGATTGAGTGGGAATTTCAAAATTTTAACGTTTTTTTTTTTAGACTTTTTGACCTCAGTGGAGTCCCTTTAAACATTATTAGCCCATAACCTGCCAGCCTCTTAAAACCTCTTAGAGATTAGTGTTTGTGCCGCCAGTATAGAGCCAGGTCAGCCTGCATATCTTTGCAGTCAGGCTAGGCTCTGTACTGTTTTTTAACTCAATATTTGTATTTTGATATTAAAATGGACTGTTCCAAATTTAAAGCATTTTCTGCAGGTTATTGGTAAAATGAATTTAGTTCAGCTTCATGAATTTGTTTACAAGTTGTCATGATTTATGAACTTTGATTTATGTCTTGATTTATTTATGTTAATACAATGTTTAATGTGAATTTTTCATGAAATTATGTTTTGTGTTTTTTTGACTTTGTTTACTTAGAATCGACTCATATAAGGTGGTCCCGCATAGTTCCAGGTAAACACGTGGAAAAAACTGCCAAGTATTGTGAGAGATTTCATAGTAACATTGTTAGAACTTTTAAAGGCACACGCCTCCAGATTAGAACTTTTAAAGGCACACACTTCCAGATTCTATGGAAAAATTTTATGAAAACTTACAGATGGTTTTGAAGGAGTTAAATGTTGTCAGATGTAAAAAAAATATTATTTTACCAAGCTTGAAGAAGTGTTCTACCCTCGGAAATTACCTTTTTTAACTAAATTTCAAAATACGCAGAAATTTCACTTACTTTGTTAGCTATAAAATACAATTTTTGTGATGAAAATAGTAAATGCTGTCATTTTTTGCTTAATATATTCAAACTTCCACATTTATTGTTATTTATAAATAATATATTCTCTTTCCTAAGACTTCATTGTATATAAACTTGAAGTTTCGATGTTTTGAAGATTCTAAAAAAAAATTTTTTTTTCATCTGGAGGCGTTTGCACTTTAAGACAGTTAAGTTACAACAATGTTATTTGTAGTCTGAAGTTAAAAAACCAAAAATGTTAACTTTATAACTTATAACATTATGAAACAGTTAAAATTTTTAACTTAGTATTTATTTGTAACTTCAATATCACAGGTTTTATGTTTCTTTATTATTTTTATTGTAGAATATTTTTCGTTCCTATTATTTTTAGCAGACTGAAAAGTTATTTCACGAAAATTGCTTTTTTATTTGTGCTCTGAAGCTCTCGAGTATGAACTTACACCAGCGTTTTTAATTCCCAAAATAGCAATTTTAGCGATAATTTCTCCCGTAATCAAGGGGTTATGGCCTCTTCCCAACCAATTGAGAAAAACCACTGGGAGCTTCAGGGTTTATATTTTAGAGATGTATGTCCTAACAGTTTTAGTCATGATAAATTACACACAGTACAGGTAAACCCAAGTTTACAGGAATGACAACACCCCCCTTTCTCTTAGTGCCAGAAAATACAACAGTTTTATAATTATTATTTTGTAGAAATTTTTTATAGGAAATTTTTTGCATGATTTTACTGTTAATACCCCACTTTATATATATACATAACAATATATTTAGTAAAAAAAAAACGTGAAAATAATATAAATATAGCATAAATTACAAAATTTGAAGTAAAATCTTGAATTTTTCATAATATTCTTGTTTCAGCATTATAAGAATACAGAATTTACGCAAAATTATCGTAATCTACCAATTCAATTTTTTTCCAAAGTTTAGGTAGAACTTATTTTCCACAAAAATCCAAAGAGAAATGTTGTTATTGTTATTATTATCATATGGCATATTTTTGATGTTTTTGGAAAGCTTAGGTTTTTATTATTATTTTAAGATATATTATATTTTTGAGTGACCCCAAATTTTAGATCTCCTGCATGTTGCATGTCACTGTTAACTTTTTACAAATTTGTATATTTAGGAAAAACCGGAATTAAAAAAAAAATTAAAAAATGAGATTTTTGTTCAGAAGTACAAATTTTTGTATTTTGTATTAAAAATGATTTGTTCCCAATTAATTATTACTATAATGGGAAAATTTCTTCATGTAAGAGTGTTGTTGAAAAATGAAATGTTATTATTTTTAAGTAACATACCATAACATAGTTGACGAATATCAAAGAGAAGAGCTTGTTAAAATTGATAGTATAGCTTTACAAACAAAGTATAATAATTGAGGAAATGTACGATGTCTTACAGGTTAACCATGTGATCAAATAGGCACATTCTGGAATATATATAACGGTGTGGTGTTCTGAAATAAAAATATAAAAGTGTGTTCGGGAATAAATGTAACAGTGTGTCCTGAAATAAATATAACGGTATATTACATATACATTAAGTAAGAAGTATATATAATTTTGTTATATTTTAGGAACAGACTGGGTGGATCCCGAGGATCCTACTGTTATTGCTGAGAATGAGTTACTTACAGCAGCAAGTTCTATCGAGGCCGCGGCCAAGAAGTTGTCACAGCTTCAACCAAGACAGAAGGCAAAGGTATGGATATTATTTCTTGAAATAATTGGTTAACTACTTTACTCTTAACCAAGTTAATTGATTAACTATTGTACTCTTAAGCAAGTTAATTGGTTAACTATAGTACTCTTAACCCAGTTAATTGGTTAACTACTGTACTCTTAACCAAGTTAATTGGTTAACTACTGTACTCTTAACCCAGTTAATTAGTTAACTGTAGTACTCTTAACCCAGTTAATTGGTTAACTACTGTACTCTTAACCAAGTTAATTGGTTAACTACTGTACTCTTAACCCAGTTAATTAGTTGACTAATGTACTCATAACCAAGTTGTGTATATAAGACTATAGAAATGCATATTTTAGCAACTGAAAGTGAAGGTTATGTAAATATGTGTATGTACAATATAACCTTTTGAACCTTTGGAGAGCAACATCAGTTTGGAGACTAAGAATTTGTTAGTTGCTGAGAGGGCTTGGTGTGGAGAGGTTGTAACTGTGATGTCTTTGTTTTTCTCTTTAGTTTTTACGTCTATATATAACAATTAGGTCATATCTTGGTGGTTGGTCCAGATAACCAGCTTTTCCTGGATAACTAACCAGTTAATTACCTATTTCTCTTTAACTTACTACTAATCCCATGTAAAAGTCTTATTTTTGGGAAGAATTAATACTGTTGTTGTAAAGAGGTTATTGCTATACAGGGGGGCCACTATAGAAGGTTGTACTATATTAACATTGGTGATGGGATCTGAGGGGCCACTTTGTCGAGGTTGTACTATACTAACATTGGTGATGGGATCTGTATGCAGCGAGATATGTTTGATATATTTGGTGGGTAAATTTGTTCTCCACCGAATACCAAACATATCAATGTTGCAGCAGATACAGCTTCTAATATACTGGCTACACTAGAACTTCTATATATCAACACTGGAACAGGGTTATTGTTTACACACTAATGTCTGTAATATATTGTATGGGAATTTTTACACCTCTATGTCTATATTTAGTTCACAGTGAAAAAAAAAGAAGGGTAACACATGAATATTTGGAAAGATCCCTTGTACATAGGTAAGGGCAAACATAGTGTAGCTATACAAGGGGGTGTATGGTGGACATAATGAAAGGACTGAAGAGGAATAAATGGAGTTCAAACAAAGCCAAGAGCTGAATGGAGGAGGATAAGGAGTGACAAGATAGCCAAGGATTGAGGATGGAGGTGAGACTGCAACAAAGCCAAGGACCAAAGAAGTAATTATGGAGTTAAAACCTAGCCAAGGACCAAGGAGAGAGATATGTATTAGCAACATAGCGAGGACTGAAGATGAAGATATGGAGCTACAATATAGCTACGGATTAAGGAGGGAGTCTAGGAGATATGGAGTTACAACATAGCCAATGGATGAGAAAGATATGGAGTTATTGCTTAGCCAAGGACTGAGGAGGGAGATATATAGTTACAGCATAGCCAAGGACTGAAGAGGAGGGATAGCCAACAACTAAGGAGGGAGATATGGAGTTACAACATAGCCAATGACTGAGGATGAAATAGGAGTTACAACCAATCCAAGGACTGAAGAAAGAGGAATATATGGAGTTACAACATAGTCAAGCACAGACAAGGGAGATATGGTGTTTCAACAAAGCCAAGGACTGAGGAGGAAGATATGGTGAGGAGGAAGATATGGAGTTACAACAAGGCCAAGGACTGAGGAGAAAATAGGAGTTACAACAAAATCAAAGGACTGAAGAGGAAGATATGGAGTGACAACATAGTCAAGGACAGATGAGGGAGATGTGGAGTTTCAACAAAGCCAAGGACTGAGGAGGGAGATGTGGAGTTACAACATAGTCAAGGACTGAGGAGGGAGATATGGAGTTACAGCATAGCCAAGGACTGAGGAGGAAGGTATGGAGTCATAGCATAGCCAAGGACTGAGGAGGGAAATATGGAGTAACAGCATAGCCAAGGACTGAGGAGGGAAATATGGAGTTACAGCATAGCCAAGGACTGAGGAGGGAAATATGGAGTTACAGCATAGCCAAGGACTGAGGAAGGAAATATGGAGTTACAGCATAGCCAAGGACCGAGGTGTGGAGATATGGAGTTACAGCATAGCCAAGGACGGAGGAGGGATTTATGGAGTTACACCATAGCCAAGGACTGAGGAGGGAAATATGGAGTCACAGCATAGCCAAGGACTGAGGAGGGAGATATGGAGTGACAGCATAGCCAAGGACTGAGGAGGGAAATCTGGAGTTACAGCAGAGCCAAGGACTGAGGAGGGGAATATGGAGTTACATCATAGCCAAGAACTGAGTAGGAAGGTATGGAGTTATAACAAAGCCAAAGACTGAGGAGTGAGATATGGAGTTACAAAAAAACAAAAACTGTAGAGGAAATAGGTAGTTGCAACAAAGCCAAGGACTTAAAAGGAAGGTAGAGTTACTGCAAAGTCAAGGATTGAGGAGGACGATATGGAGTTACAACATAGCTGCGGATTTACAAGAACTAAGGAGGAATTCAACTAGAGAAAAGGTGGATAATTACTTCTTTTCATCAGACTGGTATTGTTATCAAATGATAAAACAGCAACATTTACAGAACAGCAAAAAAAAACAGATAGAAAAGTTCAGCTGATTTATAATGATTGAAATCATTTAAATTTAATATTGTTTATGACAAGGATTTGTTTGACTATAACAGTCAGTAAGAGCGGAATGTGAATACTAATGGTTAAAATATTATTTTATTCAATATAAGTTTTGATTAACAGCAAATTCTGTTTATTCTTGTCTTATGTAAAGTTTCAACTTAGATGAATTTCTATTTAACTTGCAGGCTGCTGACATGTCACTCAGTTTTGATGAACAAATTCTCGAGGCTGCCAAATCTATTGCAGCTGCTACTGCGGCACTCGTGAAGTCGGCCTCAGCTGCGCAGAGAGAACTGGTGGCACAGGGCAAGGTAGGGTTTCAAACTTTTTACTTCATGTCTAGTTTGTTTGCTGCATCCAAAGACTGCTGTGTAGTGTTTATTCTGAAATATTTTTTATTAGGCATGTAGGAAAATAGAACTTTATTTTGCAAGGCTGGTGGTGTTTTCATACAAGATGAGGGGAGTTTTTTTATTGAATTTCACATATAAGAAATACCAAATGACAGGCATTAACAATATTTCCTTGGGCCTGACTCTTATCTGCTATTTGGTGATTTTTATATAGATTTTTTTTATGGGGGGTAGGGGGGGAGGGGAGAAGATATGGTTATTGTAAGATTCAAATTCAATCCAAACTTAACCTATATATATGTAAATGTATAATATTTATCTGCATTTGTAATTGAAAGACGACAAGAAAAATTAAGAAGTCTGTATAAGTAAATTTAAAGTTTTAAGTCGGGGTCTGAATAAATTTTTTATCAACATAGAAACTTCTGTTTGAATTACAATTTATGTTGTTATAAGTCTGAACAGTGGACTTCCATGGTTAATATAATAAAAAAATGACATAAAATGACATATAATCAGTGCCGTGTCTTGTTTTGTAATTTGTGTTCAATGATGTCATAGTAGAAGTAAAGTAATTTAATGTAAAGTACAATGTATAATATGTTTTTTAAACAGTACAGTCATATTGTGTTATACATGTAAACAAAACAAAAAATGGAAAGAGAAGGGTTAATTATATTTTCATTGCATAAATATTTATTGTTATATTATTATTATTATTGTCAATATATACTAAAAGTTCTAAGACAGAATCTCATGAGATCTTACAGTGGTTTTCAAGACAAAAAAAAATCAGAATTTTTTTTTTTTAATTTCGAAACAATTGTTCTTCACAATATAACTGTACTTCAATTAGTCTGCATTGTTATAATATATATATATAATACATATTACATTATACAGTCATCACCATCATTCTGTTTATCATTTTCACCATTATTTTTATTTTCTGTACATTGTTCTTGTATGCTCCAAACATCTTGATAATGTTTCTGTCTTTTTTCCATGTGTGCATTTTATGGTATTATGAAACATACTGGTAGAAAAATAGCCATATTTTTTAAGAAAGTTTAGCCATATTTTAGCTAGATTCCTTGAAATGAAGCCATATAATTTCCTTTAAATTCCTTGAAATTTAGCAATATTTTTGCCTCTAAATTCCATGAAACGAGGCATATTTCTGCCTCTAAATTCCTTGAAAGAAGACATATTTCTACCTACATGTGCTGTCTATTATATATTGACTTATATGAGACACCTTTTGTCCACAAAGGTCAAACAATTTGATGAGTGCTATTTTAAGAGAAGAATTAAAATTTTTGGAGACTGTTAACCTATGTACTAAACATGGGTTCAAGTTTTTTATTATTTCAGTATGAACATTAGATTATGTATTTTATATTTGGTTAAGTTACCTCCCTTTATTAATTTATTTGTACCGTGTTTACTTGCCTATAAGATGGCTCGTTTATAAGGCGGGGGTCCTAGTTTTGAAAACTGGCACTTTTTGCAATGACCCTCTTATAAGTCAGGTAGGATTTTTAAAAGGGAAAAAAAATAGTTCTGCACCTCTGTTTATATGAAAAATTGTCATTAAGTCATACTTTTCAGTAAGGTATAGTTAATGTGAACACAATTACTAACCCAAAATTGTGGTGTGTTTTTGTATATGTTTTTACAGAGTGGATATGCACGAAGAAAACCGTTTGGGGCGCCCGACCCCTCAAAAATGACTGCGGTATACATAGCATTCATTGTTTCCACAAACAACAACAACAAATTTTGTATTTTTTCACTTGATGTTAACTGACATTTCTTTTTAGTATGAAAAATGGTTTTATAATGGGGGAATGTAAAGGGAAATGTATATTACTTGTATAAAATAAAAAAAGATTTTAAAGTGGCATGCCTCCAATTTGAGTTATCAAATTTTATTTTTAACAGAAATGTAAAAAAAAATTAAAGATATTTTATATAAATAATCGCAGTTTATATAACATATTTCATTATATTTACTAAATTATGCTTAATTGTGTTATTATATAAACTTATATATACCCGATTTTAATAATAGAGTAAAGGCTATTTTAGCATACTTTACACCATATTGTATTTTTATGTAATATATGTGGATTGTAAAAACTGTAAGCTACCTTAAATAAATTCATTTGCAACAATATCTTTACTATTTGAAATGCCTTAAAAATCTTTATGTTAATCAGCATAAATTTGGAGGTGTGTTGCTTGAAGCTTAAACAATTTTGAGGCAGCAGCTTTGATATTTATTTGTAAGCTTTTGAAATAGGAGCAGTTTTATCAGGGCTGGGAATCAAAACTGCGTCGTATCCTACAAAATGTAAACAAACGCCGCCATCTTGGAACGAAAAACGTATGTTTTTGTTTATAACTTTTATTGTTGGAAATGACTGAAAACAAGATATATGTATTAACACGCTACACTATTTTCCGCTTCGTTCGGTATATGTTGCTTGCACAACTGTTTTGTAAAACAAAAGTTATAGCGAACTTGCAACTCGAAGCGGGGCATAATTTTTATGAAAATGTGTGGATACGACGCAGTTCATATTGCTTTATCTATCGTTTTTTCCTTCAAATCAATTATATATTTGTTTCAGAGTTAACCATAAACTTCGAAATATAATTTTGCATCATTTACTAAAATTTCATTAAAAAGAGATGTTTATTTTCCAAGAAAATAATGATTTTTACGAAATGATACGACGCAGTTGAAAATAAAATATGATACGACGCAGTTGTATTTTTGGCAGTCTTTTCAACAGGGATAATTTTGGCAATACATTTCTATTTTATGGAATAATCACTTGCGCTAGATAAAAAAAACCCAGATCATTTGCGGTGTATAGCAATGTTCTGTTGCTTTTGATTATTTAGAATACAATGTGTCATGTCCATTATACCATTTAATTTGAAAGTTTACATTGCGGAAGCGACTTTTCAGTTAAACATGAACATGTTACCTTATTGATCATAATATCTGAAATAATTTCTTATATTTTCCTGTATGTTCAATATTATCCCTAATTTTTTTCGCAAAAAAAATGTAGAAATCTATTTACTTGAATTCATTTTGGCTAGCTACGCTCTAAGTTAACTGTGGTTCTGCATGTTCTGGGTAATGACTGCTTTTTTGTGGTTTCTTTTCAAACTTTCACTCTACACATTAGCTTTACTAGGGGCGAGGACCTCAGGTGCGCCTTTGTGCATTATTTCAGGCAAAATGTTGCACCTGCAGAGAACCATCGACATTTTGAAACTAGCTTGATAGGTTTTCCACACGAAAGAATAAAAAGTCCCTGGTGGTTTTCGAATTCATAGCAGTTCAGTTCAAGTGATTTGAATTCAGTAAACATAAACAGCTCGGCCTCGGTCGGACACACCTGTCTGATTTTTTTTTCAACAAAATTTGTTAACGTCAGCTGTACAAATAAGCAGCTTTTTTATTAACTTCTGGCGTGAAGTTTTAAGATTATAAATATTTGAATTAATTATAAAGAGAATAAAATTTAAATTTCTTATTTCGGTATGACTAGCAGAGAAATTTTCAATGTAAACAGGGGGTAATCCTCTGTGAAGTCATTTTCTGAAAACTTTTGTTTAAGTTTTCAGGCAATTCATTATCAAATAAAAATCACACTTTAGTATGAAGGTATGTTAAGATGTCATGTCTCTAGTCTGTTGAAAATTCGATACGATAATCTGACCTAAATTTTCTGTTCAATATTGTGAAAACTTAATAATTCTTCAATACTGTTGAAAGATCATGTCTGCCTATATCTGCATCAAATTTATCGGTGCATAGCGTGAAATACCTTTGCAAAACGGACACCATTTTTACAAAATAATTTGTAGTTGTATCATATGTAACTCGATTTTGAAAATTTAAAGTTTTTTGACGGAGAAGAATGATAATTATAAGTGCAAATATAGAAAATAAATTCCGTAGACCTTTCCTCATCGGCGATAAAGAAACGTAGTACGACAAAATCAGGGGTAAAGTTCCGCGGCACTGAACATAAAATGACTAAACGGAACGCAAAAATATATTGTAGCTTAACCATTTATAATATAATTTTAATAATCTAATGTTCAGTTTCAAATAATAAAGCTCATCTGTTCTCATCGATTATTAAGAAAATGAAGACAATAAAATCGGCACGTAAAAGACAATACGTAATAATGGAATTGACGGAAATTATTGCTAATTACAAGTAACAAAGGAAGGCATGCAATTTGCGCATTCCCGATAGCGAGAGACCTTTTCAAAATTTGTAATTCTTTCTCTTTTGTTTTTTGTCATTCCTGATTAATACAGGGTCCAGGAGAGGTTACACTGGAATATTGAATTTTGTATCAAAAATAGTAATCACTCCCATTTCAAACTCACGGGAACAAGTTTATAAGCATGCTAAGGCAACACTAGAACACGTTGTCATATGGGTGTGCGATCACATGTTTCAATGTATATTGCATTTGATACAGTTTTCTGGAATTTGTAGATGCTTATGATTAGTACTAAAATGCGATCGAAAAATGCAGCCTTAATAGAATTGTATTACATTTCCATTTTTATGAAACCAATGAGTGACCTCTGCTTTTGACTTAAGTTGTAAACAAGAAATGTTGTTGGACGTTATTAGCATATACCTAGCACATCATTAAAATAGTTTAACCAATATTCAGCCTGCAATGAAAATACAACTGCGTCGTATCATATTTTATTTTCAACTGCGTCGTATCATTTCGTAAAAATAATTATTTTCTTGGAAAATAAACATCTCTTTTAAATGAAAGTTTAGTAAATGATGCAAAATTATGTTTTGAAGTTTATGGTGAACTCTGAAAACGAGTATATAATTGATTTGAAGGAAAAAACGATGGATAAAGCAATATGAACTGCGTCGTATCCACACATTTTCATAAAAATTCTGCCCCGCTTCGATTTGCAAGTTCGCTATAACTTTTGTTTTACAAAATAGTTGTGCAAGCAACATATACCGAACGAAGCGGAAAATAGTGTAGCGTGTTAATACATATATCTTGTTTTCAGTCATTTCCAACAAAAACAGTTATAAACAAAAACATACTTTTTTCGCTCCAAGATGGCGGCGTTTGTTTACATTTTGTAGGATACGACGCAGTTTTGATTCCCAGCCCTGTTTATACAGCTTTCATATCAAATAATTATGCAGGCAAGAAATTCTGCCTTGCTGTGCTTTGATAAAAATTTACATAAAAATTTATATCTAGAACTGAAAACAGTGCTGCCCATAAAAATATAATTATGTTTTAAAAACAAATGTTTTGACTTTTTGTCACAGTCTGGATATGAAATTTAAACAAAAGAAACATGATTAAGCCAAAGGAATGGCATTAAAGCTTAAGACCAAAAACTAATGAAAAGAAATGGCAGTTAACATAAAGGCTGTTGGTCATTTTTTGCTTTTTGCAAAACTGACATAATAATAAGACGCTTTGAGGTTTCACAGAAAACATAAACTATTATGTGACACCGAAGACTGAAAAAAAAGGGGAAGAAAAAAAACGAGTTTAATATACATGTATATACAGCATTCTATTTATAGAATATTTATGACACATATATGGTAGAGGAAACAAAGCAATCACTAATGCCATGTTTACTCAAGAAGTTACTAATTTATGAAATTTGATAATTTTAGAATTATTAGAAATGATTAGATTTTGTCAAGATAGGCAGTTGCTTATATCTGTCAGTTTTGCATTGAGTTTAAATCCTTGGGGAATATTGTATTTTGTTCCCTTTATTTGGCCCCCCAGGATCCCAAAATTTTGGCCCCGTATTCACCCTGGTGTAAAAGTATTATAATCTCTGTAGAATGTGCCCATTTTAAACAAACTTATATCATTATCAATCAATTTAAAATAAATAAACTGTTATTAGCATCATAATTGAATGGTAAAAAAAAATAAAATTGTTTGATATCTGAAAAGAAGTTAATACACTGTTTTACACAATCCTTATTAAAGACATGCTTTGTATTTGTACATTAGGTTAAATTTGAGTTTTCTGCATAAAGGAAGATCAGATGGGCATAATTTATTGTTGGGAAATGTTGAAAATTTTGTTACATTTTATGGAATTTTATGATATATGAAAGAGGTTAATGTCTAGTAAACAAGAGTGATTTTCTCTATAATAGTTGTTTTTGTTCTTGTGTGTCTTGTCAAATGTTCATTCATATTTCCATTTTTTGTTCATATGTTCACAAGTTTTCATTATCATTTTACAGAACAACTCATCGGATTCCATTTTTTCACAATGTTTTCCATGTTGTAGTGTTTGTTAATACTCAAAATGTCAAAAAATTCTGAGATTGGGGACCAGTCCAGGGCACAATGCATTTGATTGGTCGTGTTTGAATTTAGATTTGAAATTGACCAATCATAGTTCATCATTCCTTGGACTGGTTGACAATCTATTTGTTTTCATAACCTTTGAGACAAGACATGGAGCATTTTGTAGCATATTTGACTATAGTTTGAATATAGTATCTATGTATGATTTCCCCCAAGCATGTATTGGTATCTATCTACACAACAACCCATGTGATATGTTATGTATAATAGCCTTCATAACTATTGTAGTAGCAAGTGTTCATATTATGAGTCTAAAGTCTTCTAGTTCAGCTCAGTAAGGAGAGCATCAGGTCATTTGTCTTTCAAAACTGATTCAGAAATCGTGTGTAATTAGTAGTCAGTCACTTGTTGAGAAGTTGGTGATTGCTGGTTAGTTATCCAGGAAAACTGGTTTGGTGTAATGACGAAAATGCGAAATACGTGATTAAAAGACAGTTTAGTTGTTAAAACCGGTCAGACAAATACGAAAACCATTATCATGTGTGTAAAAGAAATTTTTCTTTTAATTTACAGGAGCTTCTTTAGCTCATTGACTAAATTGCCTGGATTTACAAGTAAATCTCCTCAAAATTAAAATACATGTATAATTAAATCTTCCTAATAAGATATTTTGGCAATACTCTCAATTGCTAAAGAATGGATACAGATTTTTTCATCATTCTTTTTGGGTATTTCTTTAAGTTGATTAAAGATATATTATAATACATGAAAATGACTAACAGCTGCAATGTTATGCACAGTCTCTGTAGTATCAAATATATACCAGTAGTTTTAGAAACATCCATTGAAATAGTCATGTGGCTGCCCCCCGCCCCGTCGTCAAATCTTGAAGTTATCTGCCCTTGCTTCTGTATCATTTACTATGTTAGATTTAGTAAGTTATATATAAACATTCGATGTTGTTGTAGTTTATCTTTTCGTTTTCATGTAGCTAGGATTGTTAACATAGTTAGTCTTAGTTATAGGCCAAATATATAATATTTTCCTATTTTTTTTCATTTTTGAAATTTTCTTTCTTTATATATAATTATATAAACTTGTGTATGCCACCCCAGTAGTTTTGTCTTCGCTACAATTCTGTTTAATTTTCAGTTGGATTTTTTATGTTGCTAGTAAATCATGGTAAAGTTATATTCATTATATAAGGATACTTAAATGAACCCCCTACCTGATGGAACAGAAAGTATTAAGCAATCCATAGCAAGTCTGACCAGAATTTTAAATTTTCATCTTGCTTGTCCCAAAATTGATAATGGACAGAGTTTCAAAAAATGGATGTTGAACGAGTTCAAGTGTCAACCAATAATTCTCTTGGTGCGGAATTGTTGCTCAGGTATATTTATGATTTTACCAAGGTGACTTCATTTATTTTATTGTGTCACCTTGAAAAATTTGACATATAGTGGTTACCTTTTTCAAAAGCGTTTGCATCTCCTTAGACTTGTCTGGAGCATAACTCAGTGACTATAAGTGGCATGACTCCAAACTTGGTATGCATGCTTCTTCAATGACCCGAAATACAGTGCACAAGAACCATTACTCTGCACTTCTTACTTTTTGAGTTATTGCCCTTTGTTAATTTTCATTCTTTATTTTTATCTGAGCCATTTCTCCTAAACTTTAAAAGCTTTGGACTTGAAACTTCATAGGATGATAGATCTCATTGAAAAGAAGTGCAGTGCACAAGAACTTGTACTCTGCACTTTATGAATTTTGAGTTATTGCCCTTTGTTAATTTTCATTCTTAATAGGCTTGTCAAAAATAGTCAAAAACAAAATAAAAACCAAAGGTCTTAACAAAGCCAAAAACAAAATAAAACCAAAAGGTCTTAACAAAGCTAAAAACAAAATAAAAACCAAAGGTCTGCCTTTTAAATGAATATGTTTAAAAAGTTCCCATTGCATTGTTGTTGTTTTTTTTTAACACCCCTGAATCCACCAAGAATGTTCCTTGCACTATCTGCTAGCCCATCATCCATATATACATGTAACTGCATCATGCATTTGTTGTTGTGAATCATATATATGTGTATGTAAATGCTAGAATATTAACATAATTTATCATAAAAATGTAGAATTTCAACCTGAAAACATTCTAGAATTCATGACATTTTCAATAGGTGTGATCTAGAATTTGCAATCAGAGTTCTAGAATTATTATTTATAAAAATTGCCTAGAATTAATATGATCAAAAAATCAAAATGATAACTTGAAGACTGCATAAATTTCAGAAAGTTTAAATTAATGAAAAAAAATAATATATATATATATATATAAAAATGGAAAAAAACGAGAGAAAAAACAAAGAAAGGTATTTTGGAATTATTATACCTAGGTGAAATTGAATGATATATGTATCTATTTGTATTTATAATGAATATTCTTGAAAAAGGCTGAGAGATCAAGCTACGGCAAATTAAAACTAATAGTGTTTTTGATTAATAAAGTTTTCATATATATCTGGTTTAATCCATCAGAACAGATTCTCCTGATTCTAGCCCAGGTCTCGAGCTAAAAAAATATCACCTGTCTCAAATCTCAGGTATTCAATTGGTCGGCAGACATTGTCTCGCTTATTGGCAAATCAGATAATTAAGATTCAAGTTTGAGTTAAGGTCAGACTCGAGGGTGCATTACAAATAGATGTACAAGAATATTGTATATATTTTATATAAGTGGGAGGAATTATTCTAGCACTGTACATAGTGTTTTAGTTCTTGTTGTTTTGTCTCTATGTTGTGCAAGTTTATTAATGTTGCTTAAATGTTTTATATTGTTAGCCCATTGTGTAAAAAAACAATAGGAAAAATATTTTATTTTTTTTTATTTATTTTTTTTTTTTTCATATTTCATGATTTGGTTCAATAAAATCATTATATTGTGAAAATTCAGTAAAGCAATTCAATTGTGAAAATTTAATAAAATAATTTGTGAAAATTCTTTAAAGTCATTTGTGAAAATTCAATTAAGTCAATATATTGTGAAAGTTCAATAAAGCCAATATATTGTGAAAATTCAATAAAGTGATATATGAAAATTCAATGAAGTATTATGTGAAAATTCAATAGTCATTAGTGAAAATGTAATATAGCCATTTATGAGAATGCAATAAAGCCATTTGTGAAAATTCAATAAAGCCATTTGTGAAAATTCAGTTAAGCCATTTATGAGAATGCAATAAAGCCATTTGTGAAAATTCAATAAAGCCATTTGTGAAAATTCAGTTAAGCCATTTATGAGAATACAATAAAGCCATTTGTGAAAATTCAATAAAGCCATTTGTGAAAATTCAGTTATGCCATTTATAAGAATGCAATAAAGCCATTTGTGAAAATTCAATAAAGCCATTTGTGAAAATTCAGTGAAGCCATTTATGAGAATGCAATAAAGCCATTTGTGAAAATTCACAGTTAATTCATTTATCAGCTATTTGTGGGGGGAAAAGGCATTAGAATGAAATAAGAATTTTTTTTATTGGAAATAAAATACTTTTATCATGTTGTGAAACCTCATAACTATTTTTCAGAAGAATTTTTACCAGTTTAAAAATATTGGTGAGGGATGTACATTGTACATATATTGGGGATTATTGTTCTTTCTCCATCTAGGAAAATACTATGACTTGGTTTTGTAATTCTGATCTTTCTTGCATTTAAACACTACAATAATTATTATATTTAACACTGTAATGTTATTGTTACTATAGTGATTAGAGGATTATGTGGATAAACGTGATGTAATACATAAAATTCTACAACTTTATTTCAGGTTGGTGCCACGTATCATAGAAACGACACTGATGATGATGGACAATGGTCACAAGGTCTTATTTCAGCAGTAAGTCATTATACATGTATAGTATTAGTTATAAAGATTTTTAACTGGTGGTTATGTTGCAACAACAGTTTATATTGGTCATATAACCTGTCAGAAATATTTGTTACAAATTTATGCAAACTTCCTTTATTAAAAAAAAAAGTAAGATTTCGTCATGAATTGACAGCAGCTGTGTATATAAAATGTCACGATTATCTAATGAAAAGCGATGTTACAAACATGCAGAATCATAATACATATTAATAGTTATCGCGGGATTAAGAAATTTTTGGGTTTTATTGGCTAATCAAGTGGTGCGAACAAACTTTTACAGCTATAGCTTTCTAAATAGGCTCAACATATTCAATTATTTATATGTCCTATTGTGCATCATGAAACTATAATGGTTAAGCTTGTTTATATTCGCGGAAAAGCTTGGAAAAACTATTGGGGGATAAGCTTGGAAAAACTACTGGGGGATAAGCTTGGAAAGACTACTGGGGGATAAGCTTGGAAAAACTACTGGGGGATAAGCTTGGAAAAACTACAGGGGGATAAGCTTGGAAAAACTACAGGGGGATAAGCTTGGAAAAACTACAGGGGGATAAGCTTGGAAAAACTACTGGGGGATAAGCTTGGAAAAGACACATTTGTCGAGTTTCGGATTACTGTTATCTTGCATTTGTTTTGTTTTTTAGGCAAAGATGGTGGCTGCTGCAACACACAGTATGTGCGAGGCCGCTAACACTATGGTGCAGGGTAATGCCAGCGAGGAGAAATTGATTGCGTCAGCGAAGGAGGTGGCCGCCTCAACAGCCGCGCTGTTAGTAGCATGCAGGGTAAAAGCAGATCCAGGATCGAAGGCAATGCAGAGGTTGCAGGTATGTGCGACAAAATTTTGAAACATTTCATGCCCCCATTATTAATCCTTAACCTTCTAGAACAGAGAGTGTCGTCACCCTTAGTGCAACAACTGGTTAACTCCTATTAAATTTAAAAGGACTTAACCTGTTACTGCACTAAGAGGATGGTAAAAAATAAGTCTTTGCAACCAGCATAGAGCAGGGCCTGCTTACACATCTGTGCAGTCTGGTCAAGGTCTGTTGCACTGATTGTTGCTCAACTTTGGTATTTTGATATTGAAAATCCCCTAAAACTTTGAATGGACTGTTCCATATTCAAAGCTGGGCAAATCCATTACACATTCAGTAGGTTAAGGGATAACTTTTGCATGTAGAAAAAAAGAAGAGTTAAAAACCTTTGAGTGGTTATGTAAATGTAAATAAACACCCTCTGTATAAAAATTGTCAAGATTGTGTTTTTAAAAAAATGCTTGCATAAGGTGTATTTTCTTATTCTTTCCTTTTTGATAGTTGTCAAATGTACAGAGTTATTGCCCTTTAGTGTTAGTTTATATCAAATTTGAATGGGTGTGTTTATGTTTCAGTCGCTAGAGTTAATGCCCTTGTATTTGTGGTTTCTTGTATTCATTTTTCAGTCCCTTTTATTTGTGGTTTATATTAAATGGTTGTATTTATGTTTTCAGTCGGCAGGTAATGCCGTAAAGAGAGCAACAGAAGCTCTGGTAGCGTCGGCACATCAAGCGAAGGCGTACCAGGAAGAAGAGGAATCTGTTACCATAAATCAACGTATGGTTGGTGGCATTGCCCAGGTAATTATACTATATATGTCTTTCCTTTGGATGAATAAAGCACTGCACTTAGGTTATCTGAACTTTAATTCAGATACACAGCTTGCTTACAATAAATCAGTGGTTCTACTCGGGGTTCCAACTTGTGCCAAAGTGAACTCTAGAGCTTGAATCCACGATGTAGATTGACTTTTCCCTTATAGATACAGTAAGTTCACTAGGCAATGATACATGACACATTTCATTGGAGTTTCACATATGATGACTTAAATATATTTTACTATATTAGTCTAATTTAACTGACCCCTGGGGTATGGCCAATTTTGACCCAAGAGACATTTATACTATTTTTGTGGAAGACCACAAGGTGATGCTACAGTGGACTCAAAATTGTCTGAAATTTGACCGTTGACCTTTATTGTGATCTTGACCTTCAGCCAACCACCATTGTGACCTTGAGCCGGCACAGCAGTATTTAAGATTAGCATTTCTCTTGTAGTCCCAATAATGGCTATATGTACAATAAACTTGTGAATATTTTCCAGGTTCTTGCTGCACAAGAAGAGATTATCAGAAAAGAGAAGGAGTTACAGAAAGCCCGGCAACAGTTAGCTACTATTTATCAACATCAAAATAGATTTAAAGACAGAACAGCCGAGGATGACTCCTCTTCATCGTTTTAAAAAAAAGACATTTTTCTCAGACATTACATAATTGTACAATCATAATTGCAAAACTCAGTCTTTATTTTTTTGCAATAAAACTTAACGTATATAAATATTCCGTGCTTGGAAGAAATCGTTCTGTTGGATGCAAAGATTCCAAAGCACAATTCTAAAGTGAACTTGTATTTGAGATTTTGATTGGTTGAATTTGTAGTGGATTGTCAAAATCCAGCCAATGACAAGAGTGGAAAAGTTGATAGTTTCTGATTGGTTGCTGCAAAATTGATGTTTTTCAAAATTAGCCAATCAGAACATTTGTTATAGTTTGATGGTTTACATGATTATATTCCACATTGAAAGGTAGTAATTGAAGTTACATGTTATAAGATTGCTTGATAGAAAATATGTAATATTGATAGATATTTATGAAAATCAAACCTGAGATTATGCTAACTAGGTCAAAGAATAGTTTTAATTGTAGGGGCAGAGCAAAATTTGAAAAGAGGGTTGGACAAAGGAAGTAACTGATTTTTTTTTCTCTCTTAAAATAATGAACTTCAGAAAGTGCCATTTTGAAACATTATGTTATCAAAAGATGTGATAATTAAGTCTTGAATAAATTCAGTGATATTTTTTATTGTTGAAATTAAAACAATAGGATGACATATCAAATTACAAGTTCTTGAACTTATTTAAAAAAGCGTACAACATTTAGAAGAGTTTTTCTTTTTCTTCATTTTGTTCACATGGTTTTAGGGAACATAAATGGACCATCTAGAGATTTTTTACATGAACTTTGTAATACTTAGTGTTAGAAAAAAGACTTTAAGTTCATCACCCGATAAAAACCATTTTAGTCATTGAACATTAGTAATGCTAATAACTAAATAAAAAAGGTAATTAGATGGGAGTTTATATTATTGCATATATATACATACACATAAACTGCTGAATTATTGTCTAAAACATTTTTTATTGAACGATACCCATTCATGAGTTTTGAATGTATATTTGTTTTTATTTAACTGTATTAGTCTATGTTTAGATGTAAAGTAATGATATAATTACATTGATTATATAAAATGCAGGCTTCAAGGCAATATAGTGTAAAGTTTACAGCTTTTTTTGTAATAAAAAGTGATATTCTCCTTCTATGTAACCATACACGCACAATTTACATTCTCTTTGCACCCTTATAACCTTTGAACTATTATGTTAAATTTAACTCATTGTAAACTTTCTCTCTCCCTCCTGAGTTAATTGTATCCTCCTGGGTTTGTTGTATCTTTGGCATAAGAATGTCAAAAATGTCCAACATGTTTTCCCTACACCAGAAGTAAAGAATTCCACTTTATTTGTTTGGCTGATTCCATATACGATAGTAGGGTACAAAGTATTTTTTTTTATTGAAATGAAAATATGAGGATGGTTTTACCTGATTGATTAATAAACTGAATGATTGATTGATTGATTGATTAATGGATTGAAGATTTGACTTTTAGTGTATTAAGGTGATGCTTACACTAAGGGTTGGGGAGGATAGGGAGAAAGAGATTATTGTCGAGCATTTATTTCTTACTATGAGTTTACTTCTAACACTTTTCTAATCCTGATAATAGATAATATTCTTCCCCTTTATATAACCTGTTAGCCAACTTTAAACAGTGCTATACTTTTTATACATATCAATTTATATAATGATTTTTTTAAATATATTTGAAAAACAATGTTTTTGTATGTATTGTAAAAAAAAACTCATTTACATTTTTTCATCATGTTCAAATGTGTTTTGTATTGTGTACATTTCTGTCACAGCTTGGATAAAAGTGACGCAGTTTTTAGTTTGAATTTAGATAACTTTTTTCCATGCTTTTTTTTCCCCATCAAGTTGTTTGGAAAGAACACCCCCGTTTTTATTTTTTGTCTGTATTTTCAGTTTCTATAGTTTTAAGCTTCCTGGGTATAAGGGAGGGCACTCTAGCTATGACCAGCATTTTATGTCCCTTTTATTTTATAAAGGAGTAAAATGTAAAAAAAATACTGGATTTTTTTAAGTTTGATGGAAATTCTGTTTCAGTGTTATAGAAAATAAAATCTGTGGTTTGATAGTATATTGTATAGATTAGAAATTTAAACATGCACTGGCAACCAGAATATATCTTTGTCACTAAAATATGGAGTGAAAATTTTAACACATTGAGAAGACATATACAAATTTCCGTCTATTTTAAGGATGGAACTTGTGTTTAATATGACGGCGGAGATATTTTCTTGTTGCGAGCAATTTAGTTGTTCACATACAAGCTGTGTTATTCTTGGAATGTTTTGTTTATATTTTTGATAGAAAAAACAACAACAACAAGCACAGCTTGAAAGACTGGTGATAGATGTGTGTATGTTTTGTATATTTGTTATAAATATTCTATATATAATGTGATAAATAGAAACATTTCTGCTCTCTATATTACTAAACTTAAAATTTTCTCTAAATGTAAACCTCTTTGTTGACAAAACTCTTATTTTGAATACAATATTTGATGAATCTTATTGTAAAGTCAGTTCGGGGATTTTATCCTGGGAACTAAGCTTAAATGTGAGGAATTAATTCTCGGAACTAAGCTTAAAAACAAGGAATTAATCCTCGGAACTAAGCTGAAAAACGAGGAATTAATCCTGGGAACTAAGCTTAAAAACAAGGTATTAATCCTCGGAACTAAGCTGAAAAACGAGGAATTAATCCTCAGAACTAAGCTTAAATGCTAGGAATTAATCCTTGCAACTAATCTTAAATCGTTAATTTTAGACACCAAAATGTTGTAACTAGGTCTGACAGAAAAAGATTGATAGAATAAAATAGTTTTTATTACTTATGTAAAGATTTGTGTTAAAGATACGTTACCTTTTTTAGAGAAGATGAATTCTTATTTTGTTGTTTAACATTTTTGTTTTGTCATAAAGAGTGTTGACTTTATCTTAGATCTGTGTTATATTTGATTGCCTTATAAACTTTGTTATCATGATGTGTTACATAATAGTCCTTTATGAAATTATGCAAGTACGCAAACATGTTCCTCACCAACCAGTGTAATTGTTGATAAAATGGTCGTAAATTGAAATGTTTTATTTCATTCTTACAGTAGTTATAATATTAGTAAGATTGGAAATTATATTTCCTTTAAAGAAATATTGGTAGCAAAATTTATCACTTCAAACTGTTATTACTTTTGAAGTTAATATACAGTATAAGTTAAAAACCATATCCTGCAGGACCTAAGTGTGATTGTTCTTTGTTGCCAGTATAGAGCCGGGCCAGTCTGAACATCTTTGTAGTCTGACCAGGGTCGGTCCTGTTGGCTGACTTTACTTTAAATTTTTCATCTTGATATCCCTTCAAAATTGTTGATTATGGACAGTTCCAGAAACGCAAGTTTGGACAAGTTCATTTAAGAAATTAGGCGGGATTAAGGGTTATAAATGCATGTTTTTGTATATGTTTGACATATCTGAACAGAGGTACAGTAGAATCTCACAGCAGTCATCATGTCACTGTTAGTATATATGAAAAAGTAAACCTAATCATTGAGCCACGCACTGACAAAACCAACATAGTGAGTTTGCAACCAGCATGGATCAAGACCAGCCTGGGCATCCGCACAGTCTGATCAGCATCCACAACATTGCTAACAAATTCTATTACAAGTAGAGAAACTGATAGCAAACACATGAATCCTGATCAGACTGCGCGGATGCGCAGGCTGGCCTGGGTCCATGCTGGTTGCAAAACCATTACATTGGTTTTGTTGTGACGCGGCTCATATAATGATGTCGCATTCGTCACAGCAAATAGGATTAAACTGTGAAGATATTCAAATCAAACAAGAACTATTAAGAATATCCTATATTTCATTTTGGTGTATTTGGTGTGCTTTCTTTTTGTCAAATGATCATTTTTTGCAAGTTTTGAATATTTTTTAAGGGAATCGAAAGTGCCATACGAAAAGTGCTGACTCATGACAAAACCATCGCAAATTTCTTCTAATTACAAACTAAATAAATTTATTATATACTTATAAATGAAATATTGAGAAATATTGATGAAATAAAATGCGTATTTTCATTTTCCGTATTTTCACTGTAAAAATTTATTTTTCACTGCAGTGAAACATATTTTCCGTATTTTCACTGGTGTCTTGCCGGACTACTTTCTTTTAAATTCTGCCAGTACACAAAATTTATGGGAAAGTCTTTCAAATTTTAGTGCAAAAAAAGAGAAAAATGTATATAATAAACAGAACATTCAAGTTTTTTCTATAAATACATGATTTATTTTCATCTTGTGGCATGAAAATTACCATATTTCACTCGTGGCTACCGCCACTCATGAAATATTTATTTTCATACCACTCGATGACAATAAATCATGTATTTATAGAAAAAACTTGAATATCCTCTATATATGTTAAAAAATGAAAAATTAAATTATTTTGTCTTGTCTTAATCTTGTCTTAATATCTTGAGGAAATTTTTTCGACCGTAGACTTTTTTGTTTACAGTGTCATCAGGTAAATTTTCGGGCTATTTTGACATCTTGTTTCCCAGTACATGTCGGTCAGGTGCCCAGCAATGGTTGAGCCACTTTTGCCATGGCCAGTTATCTTCTGTTAAGATAGTTCTTGTAAATGATGGCTTTGTCCATCATTTTAATCCTTAATGAAAATATATTTTCTAATTTAGAAGGAAATTAATATCCCTGATCAGGGTCTACTAAATAATTAAGATTGTTAAGCATTTGATAATGTTGATAATCTGTAATGTTAAAGGATTCTTTTTATAAGTTTAATATATGATTAGTTCTAAAAATTTTAGAGAAAACATCTTTATTATCGTGAAAATGACTGTTAGGAGTTGATTTATCTAATTTTAATGGTGGATAAATTCAGTTCCACGTGTAGTTAAAATATTTAAAGTTTCTATTAAGTAAAGGTGAACTATTAAGAATATAATGTATATCTATGTGCATGAAAATATTCCTTATCTACATTACATCTGTTTCTATTTGCTTAATCTGTGTTAACTTGAATATCATGTATAAAAATGGATATATTAATAAACATTATTTAATGTGAAACTCTTGTTTGTTGTTATTGTTGTAGTATCAATTGGCTAAAAATAGATTTATAATATTCAGAATTCCAA